TTTTAGTTTGGTTGGTGTTTTGTTTTGTTTTAGATTTTCATTTATTTATTTATTTAATTTATTTATTTGTGTATGAGTGTATTGTCTACATGCATGTAAGCGCACCCATGTCATATAGTGCCCACGAAGCTCGGAAGGTGATGGATCTTCTGGAATTGAAGTTATGAATGGTTGTTAGCTACCATGTGGGTGCTGGGATTCAAAGCCAGATCCTCTGCAAGAGCAGCCAGCCAGTGCTCTTAACCACTAAGCCATCTCTCCAGCCCATGTTTTAGTTTTGTAAAGAAAGAAGAGTCTCACTGTGTAGCCCAGGCTGGCCTTAGCCTCCTGATATTGGAACTACAAGTATGTGCCATCATGCCCACTACTGTTTTGTTTTGTGTTATTTTGTTTTGGGGGTGGGGAGGGTTTATTTGGCTTACATCTCCTGGGTTACAGTTCATCAGGGAGCCCAAGGTAGAAACTCAGGGCAGGTACCTGGAGGCAGGAACTGAAGCACAGGTCATGGAGGAACGCTGTTTACTGGCTTGCTCCCCTGCCCCATGCTCAGTCTGCTTTCTTACATAATACAGGATCACCTGCCCAGGGATGGTACCGCCCACAGTGGATTGTGCCCTCCCACATCACTCAACAATCCAGAAAATACCCCACAGATATGGCCACAGGCCAGCCCAATGGAGGCAGTTCCCCAATTGAGGCTCTCTCTATCTAGGTATGTCAACTTGACAACTAAAGCTATCCAACACATCAGGGTTGGAGAGATGGCTCAGCAGTTAAAAGCGCGGGTTGCTCTTACAGAGGAGCTGGGTTTGATTCCCAGCACCCACATGGCAGCTAACAATCATCTGTAACTCCATTTCTGGGGATCCCACACCCTCTTCTGATCTCTGTGGACACTGCATCCACAGGGTGCACTTACCATGCCCACTACTCTTGACTTTTACACTTTACTTTTCCTACTGGCTGACCTTACATTCAGAGCTGACCTTTGCCTTGACAATCACTCACTGGTGTCAATTTTTTTTCTTTATTCTTTGATCTCAGTATTAATTTCTAATTCTTGATTCTGCTTAAAACTTTGGTCTCACTGTTCCTTCAATAAACTTTATTATGTCCTATGCCCAGACGGCAACTGTGGTTCTTACATCTGATGACTTAAAACCACTAAGTCTAGCAATTTACTCGAATACTTCAGAAATGGCAAACTCTAAAGCCTTTTCTACAAACTGCTGTTTTTTCACTCCAATAAACATGATGGCTTCTCTTTTGTCCTACCAAACTCCTGGTTATCCTTAAGCTTTGTCTTTAGCTTTATACAAAGACAGTGCTAAGCAGCTAGCTTCTTTCTCACACATGCAGACATTTAAGACGGGTGTAAACTACACTGTGTTCCTTCTTCAGGGTAAATACCTGATTCCTGCAAAACTGTTCATCTGTTAATATTATAGTTTATGTCCTCAAATCTATAGTTTCTCTTCATCTTTTTAAAATAAGATGCTCCAAATGGAGCTATCAGTGAATAATAGCTAATTTACAATAGGGAGGCTCCCAGACACTTTCATTTGGCTTCATTTTCAGTCTTTAAAATGGCCTCCAAGACCCAGCAGAGTGAGACATTGGCCTTTTGGTACAAAGGAAGTATCCACCATTAGCAAAGTTTCTGCTTCACAAACACACACACACACACACACACACACACACACACACACACACACAATCTCATTTGAAAAGAAAGCAATGAATTAACTATGCTATGGCCCTTTACACTAAGTCAGAGAGAGGATATAAAAGTAGAAAAACAACAACAAAAGAAAACACCTCAATCTCAGAAGTTTCCCAAGTTGCTTCTATATACAGTAAGTTTTCTTACCAATCAAGAGACCAAAATCTGCAAAGGCATGGTGCCTTTACATAACCTTCCATTTCCAGGCAATATAAATTAACTGTCATTATTTCTCCTAGAATAGGCAGGTGGAGCCCAACTTCTCAGCTATTGTGACAGTTGTTCACGCTAAGGGTTAGAACTACTTCCTATAATCCTTCAATCCCTTCCACATTGAAATGTTTTTCTGAATTGGAAAAGAAAAATGTTGAAAGGCTGAGCTGGAAAACAGTACGGGACAGCTATCTTTTCTAGATTTAGTCAATTACTTGTTCTTTTATAATGCAAGCAAGCAGGCACTTGACTTTAAGATACCTACAACTGAAGAACAAGATAATCTTTACAAAGAAAGTTGTAGACCAAGACATCAGACAAGCCAGGCATGGTGGCACACACCTTTAATCCCAGCAGAGGCAGGCTGCTTTCTGAGTTCAAGGCTAGCCAAAGCTACACAGTGAGACCCTGTCTCAAAAGAAGAAAAAAAGAAAGAAACCAAAAGGAAATCAAACAAAAATACAGAAAAGATAAAAGACAGTTTAAAAACAGAGAAAGAATGCAGGAGATTTCGAAAGGACTCTAAGAAAGAAAAAAAGAATTTTACATTCTTTCTTTAAAAAACAAAACAAAACAAAAACCAGCAACAATGTATTTGAAATGAGCTTCAGAGAGCAGAGGTCCCTTTTCAGGCCATTACTGTACATTAAGAAGGTACCAAATACCTTGAGGGCTTTTTGATAACTTCTTACATGAAGAAGAGTAAGGAAGAAATAGTTACATACAAACATCTGTAACTCAACAATGCACTTCAACTCTAGGTTGGTCTTTATACCCCATGGTAGTAACCCAATGAAGGACACCACGCCATGAAAACACAGGGAAGAAGATCTTAGTTACTGCTACTTCTTAGGCCTACTGGGTCAAGGCCATAGCTAGCAAAATCCTAAGGGGATAAAGTCCATACCCAGAAACAAAATCTATTCCCACCCCACCTTGGCTCAATGGCTTTCTCCCACTGTGGTGAGGGTGGTTTTGGAAAAGCTCCTCAAATGCCAGGAAACACTGTAATACAAAAAGAAAAGAAAACAAAAACAAATCATAAGTACCCAAGCTGAACTAGTATTTTGGCCTCCCCTCAAGGAAGACTGCTATTATGGAAAAAGCACTCAATTACAAACCAAGAAACCAAGTGTATTTCACTTGTTAAGCATTCATTCTGAGACTCTGAGGACTAAAGGTGACTTGGAAGGAGGGGAGGGACACAGAAGACAAGTTCTACTGCTAGTAAATAGCATAATAGAAGCCACAACTCATCCTGCCTTTAACTGATCTAACAATGAAGTCATCAAAGTACTTAGCAGAGATAGGGACGAGAAAGAGACATAACTAATGGCAAAGCTAAGAACCTGGTTTCAGCACTTCCTGAAGTATTTCCCCCCATAAGTTAGTTTGCACTAGCTTTCTGCAACCACTAAGTATGTAAATCAGACCAGTTCTAATTCCACACTGAGCCTGAACAACTTACCACTCCTTATTATCTGGTCTTAGCTATCTCTTTTATAAAATGGGGTATTCACTGAGGTTTCCAAAGCATTTTAATTATTTTTTTTTATGTATATGAGGGTTTGGCCTGCATGTAGTGCACTCATGCATGCAATACCCATGGAGGTCAGAAGAGGGTGTCAGAACCGTAGAAATGGAGTTACCAACAGTTAGTTGTTTGCTGCCATGAGTGCTGAGAACCGAACCTGGGTCCTCTGAAAGAGCAGTAAGTGCTCTTAACCACTAAGCCATCTCTTCAACCTTCTACAACATTTTTTCTTTCAAAACAAAATTTCATTCTATCAAGTAAATGACTTAATTCACATAAATGTGTTATGTGAAAGATCAAATTTATAGTATCTACTTCTAACCATAATCAATAAAAACAATGACTATTCAAACTTAGCTTGAAACTCAAAATGAAAAATGACCATATTATCATAAATGTACTTTATAAGATTAAACATTATTACCCAAACTAGTGAGAACAATGACATGTTTGGCACATATAAGACATTAACACTACAGACAAATGGTAAAAACTGAAAGCTTACATCTCTCAGTACTTTTCTCTGTATTCTTTTACAAGGTTTGTCTGTAATTATGTGCATACTTCTGTGTTTATATGTACATGAGTGCAGTACTTACTCACAGAGGCCAGGAGAGGATGTCAGTTTGGCAGTTATGAGGCAAACTCAGGTCCTCTACAAGAGCAGTATGCACTCTTAACAAATGAGCTCTCTCAAGACCCTCTCTGTTTTAACTACACATGACCAAAATAAACATAGGTCCAAAAGTAACTGCAAAATGAAGCATGTTTTTAAAGTCTGCCTTTATCCCATGGTGCCATTTAAGTAAAGAAGGAAAGAAGCTTATCTTCTGTGCAAAGGAAATGAAACTTACAGTGTAAGATCTGTTTTTAATGGCTTTCCAACTGCCTTTGTAATTAGTTACATAGTCAGAAATTCAGGTAATGTTCATTATTCATTTCAATTAAGAAAATGGAGTAGAAACAGAAACCATTTTATTGCAAGGGTAGACTACTTTCCTGCTTGCCAATTATAGTTCCACACAGCACAGTAATAGGTAATAGATTGTAGTTCCCGACAAGCAGTTCAAACACCAAATAAGATTCAAAGCACAACACTTAAGAAAGCAACCTAACAAACACTAAATAAGAAAAAGCAAACAAGCCAAGTATAGTGGGAATCCCAGCACTTGGGAGAGAGACAGATCTCTGTAAGATCGAGGCCAGCCTGGTCTACATAGTAAGTTCCAGGCCAGCTGGGGCTACAGGGAGCCCCCGTTTCAAAAACAAAACAAACAGAAAGTAAAAAGACAGAGAGACAAAAAGAATTTTAAAAAAGAAAGCAATTGATGACAGGCTGGGGTTGGCTTACTGCTTAGAGACAAGCTCTCCCTCACAGGCTGGCCCTTGACATGCCACCTAAACCAGGGGTAGAGAGGAGATTTGCTGTACAGAGGTTCATGACCAATGAGCTACACAAGTTCTTGATTCAAACATGCTAACGGACACACAGAAGAATCCAAATGCTTCATTTTTAAAAATGTGTCCTACCTTTCCAGGGTCATCCTTGGATCGAGGCACTTTAAGAAAACATTTGTTCAATGACAGATTATGCCGTATGGAATTCTGAAATTAAAAAAGAAAACACCACTAGGTCAATGGGATACAAAATAACCCACTCCAACTTTAAAACAAATAATAAACCTAATATTTTTATGAATTGAAGTTAAAATTGTATTAACTTTAAAATGACCTTCAAGCTTAAACATCTCTGGTTTTCAAATTAGCCATAAATACTATAAAGTTACTGGAATAATTTCTAGTGGATTTTATGATAATGTAATCATCTTTCTGACTGATAAGAAGGTGCAGGGCAAGACAGCCTGAGAGGTGGGCTCTGACCTCCATGCGTGTAGTGGCTGTGATCTCAGCAGACTGCCAGAGATTGTTGGGTTTTGGCCTCCCTCTGGCATAAGGGCTGAGAACACAGGGGACTGCCTGAGAAGGCCCAGATCCTGCCTTCACGTGGAGGTGAGCTTCCCCCCAATTGTACCATACCCATCCCCCTACCTGGGATTTCCTGAGCCTCGCCCGCCCCAAGGCCCCAGGGCAGACCTGGCTATGGTAGGCTAAGGCTGAGATCCTAGCAGACAGCCTGAAAGGGTGGGTTTCAATCTCCATTGGTGTAGCTACTCTGAATTCAGCAAACCTCTAGAGAGTGCTCAGTTCTGGCCTCCCTCTGGCATAGGGGTTGAAAACGCAGAGCACTGCCTGAGAGTGCCCAGATCCTGCCTCCACGTGGTAAAGGAAGCCTGAGGGTACCTGACTGGAACCTGACTTGGGTTTCTGTGGGTGCTGACCTGAAGCCATCAGTTCCCTCCAAAATAAAACCTGAGAGAACTTGAAACCTATACCAACCAGCTTTTACACAATCAGTGAGGAAAGAACCTAGGCACCCCGATAACATAAACAGAAGTATACTTCAACTTAATTCTCTTATCAGAATCAAAAACAACAAAAGAAATTCACATGCCAAAATCATAACGAAATAATAATAAAATGGAAAGCCAAAACACTATGTCCACACCAAACTCTACCAGTTCTGTAGAAGAGTTCTACAAGGAGAACCCCCAGAGAAATAACCCAGGACACTGAATTTAAAAGAACAACCATGGGGCTGGAGAGATGGCTCAGCAGTTAAGAACACTGACTGTTCTTGCAGAAGACCTGGGTTCAAATCCCAGCACCCACGTGGCAACTAACAACTGTCCATAACTCCAGTTCCAGGCAATCCCACAGCCTTTTCTGACCTCTGTGGGCATTGCACGACACGGGTGCACTTACCTACACATAGGCAATACACACATCCACATAAAATAAAAATAGTAAGATTTTTTTTAAAAAAAGAACAGTCATAAACATGATCAAGGAATCCAACGAATTTAAAGAACACACGAACAAACAATTCAAAGAACTAAAAGAAGATAGGGATAAACTTTTGAATGAATTCACAAAAGAGAAACATTGAAGAAAATTCAGAATGAAGAGTTGGTTTGTCTAAGCTTCTGGTTCTCTCTTTTGATTTTATATTGTCAAGGCCGGATTGTTTTTGTCTTCAGGAGTTCCGCGGTGGCCCAACTCCAATGTGGATCAGAAGTTTTCAGACTTTCTCCTTAGGTCTGGAATCTTCTAAGAATGCTTTTGGCCTTAGGAACTTGGGTGGCACTGACCTGAGACCCTCGCCGTGGCTGCGCCATCCAAATCTATGGATCATAGGAATAGAGGAAGGAGAAGAATTTCAGGTTAAGAGTATCGACCAGATCTTAAACAGGATTATGGAAGAGATTTCCAGAAATTAAGGAAAGACATCTCCATACAAATACAGGAAGCACATGGAACACCAAATAGACAGGATCAGAAAAGAAACTCCCCACAACATATCACAGTAAAAACACTAAATGTACAGAACAAAGAGAGAATAGTGAAAGCAGCAAAAGAAAAACAAGTCACATACAAAGGAAAGCCCATCTACAGCTGACTTATCAATGCAAATTATGAAAGCCAGAAGAGCCTGGACCAAGGTATTTCTAGTTCTACATGACAATAGATGCCAGCGAAGAATACTTTACCCAGCAAAAATGTCTATTACAGTTGACAGGGAAAGAAAAATCTTCCATGACACAAATACTCCGAAAGAGTTCATGTCGATAAAACCAGCCTTTCAAATCTTGAAGCAATACAGAGAGCAGAGAGAGAAACAACTATACCCCAGGAGAAACCAAAGAAAATAAATAAAGCTGTAATTGAGGAAACACAAAATTAGACAAAGAACACAAACAGCAAAATGACGGCAACCAATACACATCTTTCAATAATAACCTTAAATATCAATGGACTGAACGCCCCGGTCAAATAACAAGGCTAAGCAAATGGGTTAAGAAACAAAATCTTGTGCCGGGCATGGTGGCATACACCTTTAGTCCCAGTGCTTGGGAGGCAGAGGCAGGTGGATCTCTGTGAATTCAAGGACAGCCTGGTCTATATAGCAAGTTCTGGGTAAGCTGGGGTTACAGGGAGACCCTGTTTCAAAAAGACCAAAATAAATAGATAAATAAATAAATAAATAATTTTTTTAAAAAAGAAAATCCATCTTTTTGCTGACTGTAAGAAACCCATCTCACCTTCAAGGACAAGCACTACCTCAAGGTAAAAAGATGAAAAAGAATACTCCAAGCAAATGGCACTAAGAAACAAGCATGGGTTGCAATTCTAATATCTGATAAAATACCCAAGAGGCAACAGAAAGAAACTAAAGAATAACTGTGAAAACACAAAATTAGATCACGAATGCAAACAGAAATTAAAATGATGGCAACCAATATACATCTTTTAATAGTAACTTTAAGTAACAATGGACTGAACTCCCCAGACAAAAGACACAGCCCAGAAGAATGGATTAAGAAACAAAATTCATCCTTTTGTTGTCTCACTTCAAAGACAGGTCAACAGAACAAAGAATGAACAGAGAGACATCTGAATTAAATGATACCATACATTAAATGGACCCAACAGACGTCTTCTGAATATTCCACCTAAGCACCACTTTCTATTCAGCACCACATGGAACTTTTTCAAAAATTGACCACACTGGGCCACTCTCCAAAATCGACCATATACTGGGGCACAAAAAAAAAAAAAAAAAAAAAAAAAAAACTGAAATAATTCCATGCATTCTATCAGTCCACAATGCACTAAAGCTCTAAATCAACACTGGACAAAGCCCTATTCACTATATGAACACGTGGTGATTGAACAACACACTCCTAAACAATGAGTAGGTAAAAGGAGAAATTAAGAAAGAAATAAAAGAATTCCTGAAATTCAACAAAAAGGATAATAATACAACACAACACAACCTCGGGGATGCTTTCAAAACAGTCCTAAGAGGGAAATTTATAGCTCTAAGTGCCTACATTAAAAAATTAGAGAGAGCCCAAATAAATGACGTAACACTACAACTAAAGATGCTGGAAAGGCAAGAACAAATGAAATCCAAACCTAGCAGAAGAGAAGAAATAACAAAAATCAGAGCAGAAATTAATGAAATAGCAACAAAGAAAACAATCTAAGAGCTGGTTTTTTGAAAAGCTAAACGATAGGCAGACCCTTAGCCCAGTTAACCAAAAGAAGAAAGAGCAAATCCAAATCAACATAATCAGAGATGAAAGAGGAAACATCACAACACCCAAAAGATCCAGACCATTATAAGGGAATATTTAAAAATCTATACGCTACTAAATTTGAAAATCTAAGAGAAATGGCTACCTAAAATCATGGGAACCACCAAAGTTAAACCAAGAAGAGATCAACAGTTTAAACAAACCCATAACATACAAGGAAACTGAAACAGTAATACAAAGCCTCCCAATTAAAACAAGCACAGGCCCAGATGGATTTACAGCAGAATTCTACCAGACATTTAAAGAAGACCTCCAACCAATACTACTTATATTATTCAAAACGATGGAAACAGAGAACTCCCAAATTCCTTCTAAGAAGCCAGCATCATTCTAATACCCAAACTGAGTAAAGACACAATGAAAAAGGAAAACTATAGCCCCGTATCTTTAATGAACATAGAGGCAAAAATTCTCAAGAAAATACTTGCAAACCACATACAGATGTACATCAAAAAGATCATTCACCATGATCAAGTAGGCTTTATTCCAGAGATGCCCGGATGGTTCAATATACACAAGTCAATAAATGTCATTAATCATATACATGGACTCAAAGACAAAAACCAAATCTCCATCTCAATAGATGCAGAAAAGACTTTTAACAAAATTCAATATGCATTTATGTTCAAAGTCCTAGAGGGAATTCGACTGGAGGGAACATACTTCAACATAATTAAAACTATATACAACAAACCCACAGCCACCATCATTTAAATGGAGGAA